GCACGTGTATTTGGAAAAAATGGAGTTTGAATCGAGTTAATCATGTATAGAATGACTCGGGACGAGTTTTTGTTTTGTATGAATACATCTTGTCGGGACCGTGCCTTCGAATTTGAGTTTAATTTTGTGGATAATCGGAGGAAGACGAGAGTTTCATTTCGCATGATTATTAGTTTTGGACCGTGATTTTTCTTCTCGAACTACTTGGGACCAAATGTGGAAAACATCAAAAGTTTTGGGACCAAATTTATAATTTTTCTAAATTAAATATAACGACTAACGGTTTGATGAATAAGACTGTTAAGTCTTGACGGAGTGGAACGGAAAATAAAAAAGGACCATAAATGCGCTTTGGTTTCTTTAAGGTAAAATGCGCTTTAGTTTCTTTAAAATTAGCTTAAGTTTATGGGATATATGCGCTTTGCTGTTTGATGAAAATACAAGCAGGAACATTTAAAGTTTTTAGATAATAGGAGTTTTAGAATTCAAATCAAGCTCCATAAAGATATACCTGCAGGTTTGCACTCGCCTTAAAAGCCTTGCTATCTGCCATCAACTCTTTCTCCAACTTAAGAGAATTTTCAAAAGCTCTTATAACATGATTTCTGTCTGCCAACAATAATACATAAGAAACTAAAAATGAGGGAATTCGGGAGCTTCTTAGCCGCCAGTGGGTTGCGAGGATTCTACATGGTTATAGGGAGGTTAATTTTGTGGCGGATTATTTGGCTTCCTTAGCGACACAAAGCCCGGGCGGTTTTCATCGGCTGGAGTCTCCTCCGTCGGGGGCGGGCATTTGGCTCCATCATGACTTGGTAGGCGTGGCTTACCCTCAGAAGATTGTTATTTAGATTGTAGGTTTTGCCTCCCTTTTCTGTACCAAAAAAAAAAAAAAAAAAAAGAAACTAAAAATGAGGCACAGACCCTTACATTCAGATAAGTATAGAAAAAAACATCCTAATGTCGGGCCATGGAGTTGTTATTAACTCTGCCCCTAACAACCCAAGTAATAGAACATCTCTGAAATAAAGGGGGAAAGAATGTGGTCAATTGTATGCAAGATTGAAAAGTTACATTGTGGTCAATTATAAAACCAGAGTGAGTTGATTTTGAACAAGTCGGTGTTCAGTCGTGACAAGTTGTATGTAGTTGTATTTCGAATCACTAATTGAAATAGCTTGAAAAATGAAAATAGTAGTACGATGGTAGATGGTGTGACTACAAGACAGAAAAAAATTATTGTCTAGAAAGACGTTATTAGAAAGACGTTATTGATAATATATAGTAGTTTTTTTTATTATATATACTAGATTTGCTCACGCCGTGCACGCACGGCGGTCTAACACCCCGTGTAAAACTACAGTAAAAATTTATCATAAGTTGTTGCAGATTCGTATGTATTACAGTTGTTCACATATATAATATTGTGTTTTTTTTTATTTCTCTTTTAAAAAATTATAATATAGAAGCCGACTACTGTTCCGTAGGGAAATGATTCCCTCATTCCAATACAAGTCATTAGATCTGTTAGTTTGATATGAACCCTTAGATGTAGTCGGTAAATGCTGACGTGACAATTTTTTTATTGGAGTTTTATTCAGATGAATGGTTCTGGTACGAAATTTTAGCATTTTCCTATATTTTATTAAAATTTTAAATTATATATCTAATGATAAATAAATTATTTCTTACTTTATGTATATTTATTACAAAAATAAACTTAATATTAATAAAAATAAATAATTAATTAATTATGAAATTGACGCGATAATACGATACGATACCAGCATGAGTTACTACATATGAGATATATCTTGCATTTTTCTGTAGTATGTGATTCTTAAGTTATTAAATATCATAAACGGATAATGTTATAACGAAAAAAAATGCTTTAAATAAATTATATGCTTATTTTATATATATATCTTAAGATAAATTGTTATAGTTACTATTATATGTATTTTTTAAACAATTATTTAGAATTCAATTTGAGTACTCTTGTAATAATCATTATAATTATAAAAATATTAGTTTCCTTGTGCATTTAAATTCCAAGATAATATAAAATGCTTAAACGGAAAAAAAAATGAAAGAAAATATAAAATAAAATTTCAACAAAATTTCCTTTTTGTTTGTTGTCAAAATTTCTTTTTTAATAACTAATCATATTGAATACAAAATTACCTGTACTATTTCAAGTAAATGCCACATCTTTATACATTCTCTAAGGCAAAGAATAGCAAGCTGACAAAATTCATCAAGTTGGATAGGTATTCCTATTACCAGTCAGAGTGGATATGGCATGTTGAAGAATTTAATAATAGAATAAATAAATCTAACTCTATAATAATAATAACTTGGTAGATCGTGAGGCTATGCTGTATGAGGTGCGATCTCGCTGCCCTTCTCTCTCGCGATGGGTTGAGTTCTGCTACTCCCGCCCAGCCAGGTTGTATTATGGGGAGCACACCTTAAGATCCTGCCAAGGGGTCCAGCAGGG